TGAGATAAAGCATCCTTTTGGCTCATGAAACCTGATCTGCTTAAACCAGGACATTTGGCAAGTACTTTACCTCCGTAAATTTATTTCTGTTATCTCTTTGCTGTGTTATTGCTCTCTGTATATTTATATATATATTGGCTACATCTTTTTCTGTAAATATTTTTATTGCACCCTTTTGACCTTTTAGTAATAAATCTTACTTTCTGAAAGTGTTGAACTGTTTCTAAAGCTCTTTAATGCAAACTAAGAATCCCTGTCTCTGAAGAGCACTACTGTGTGTTTTAAATCTTCGGTATATCTCTGCCTGCAGTGACAGTGGTATATACCGACGCTTATGCAAACATCATAGTGTTATTGCTGATATTGCCGAGTTTCCTCTTTCTCTGTACAAAAAGGAGGGTTAATTGCGTAATTAACCTGACCCAGTAACAATTGCTCTGAGGCTGCAGGTACACAGGTTGTGGTCCATTAGCTGGAAAATCAGTGTGCAGGGTGCAGCTGGGCGTTTCATTGTGACAGCGCGGTTTTAGATTGGCTAATCCTTCAGTCATGCGTTTGGTGACCGCGCGGTTTTTAGATTGGCTAATCCTTCAGTCATGAGTTTGGTGAGAAGGGCTGGGGTCTGACGCCGCGATCGTCACAGTCAGCACCATTTTTTTGGACTTTTCACACATATATTTTTTGCTTTTGGTCATGTGTTTTTGGCATGTTCATTGTCAGATATAGTCACACGGATATTTTCACTATTGTATATATTCATTGTTCATTGGATATATATCTGCTTTATATATCTGTTTATGGAAACACTATGTAGAGTTTGGGGTTCATTAATTTTTTATGTATTGTTTACGCACTTTTGATATACACTTGCATGTTTATGCGTTTTCCTCGATTTCAGTCCTAATTGTTGGACATATCACTTATTAGTCCCCATTTGGACTAGTTTTTTCTTTTTATTTTATTTATTTTTCATTTTATATCCACCATAACTTCAGATCCCAATCAGGATCTATTCACTTTTTGTACCATACTTTTTAGTATTGGCTCACATATCTCTGCTATTACCATCATTGTGGTGGTTTAGTATCCACTTTGTTCACTTCTGGATCTGTTGAGAATCAGGTCACGGCAGGGGGCGGACTGACAACTCATGGGGCCCCCAAACAATAAGGGATCATGGGGCCCCTGTGTCCTTGCCTAAAAACTCAAAAAAGCCTATGAAAAAGGTACCAGGGGCATCTCATGGGGCCCCCTACTGACCCCGGGCCCTCGGGCAGTGCCCGAGTTTCCAAATGGTCAGTCCGCCTCTGGGTCACAGTTAGACATTTGAAAATCCCAGGAGGATCAGGGCACATTTATGTTCTTTGCATGTTGTGTCACTTTATGTATCGCTTTCAAATTTATTTTATATTATATATATATTAGGTTGTATGATGTGATTTATAGCTTTGGAGTAGCGCTGAATCAGTTCCTTCTTATCTCATTTCATTTGATCATTTGGTATATGATTGGATGTTAGCAGCTTCTCCCTGTTATTTGTATTTATCATAGGCAGAAGCGCAGGAGGTTCACACCATCATTAAACCCCCCAGCATGTTTTATCCTATGTGTCCATCCCCAGCATGTGTTATCCTATGTGTCCATCCCCAGCATGTTATCCTATGTGTCCATCCCCGGCATGTTATCCTATGTGTCCATCCCCGGCATGTTATCCTATGTGTCCATCCCCGGCATGTTATCCTATGTGTCCATCCCCGGCGTGTTATCCTATGTGTCCATCCCCGGCGTGTTATCCTATGTGTCCATCCCCGGCGTGTTATCCCATGTGTCCATCCCCGGCGTGTTATCCTATGTGTCCATCCCCGGCGTGTTATCCTATGTGTCCATCCCCGGCGTGTTATCCTATGTGTCCATCCCCTGCATGTTATCCTATGTGTCCATCCCCGGCGTGTTCTCCTATGTGTCCATCCCCAGCATGTTATCCTATGTGTCCATCCCCGGCATGTTATCCTATGTGTCCATCCCCGGCGTGTGTTCTCCTATGTGTCCATCCCCAGCATGTTATCCTATGTGTCCATCCCCGGCACGTTATCCTATGTGTCCATGCACGCATAGACTGGAATCAGCATTTTTTGGTTGGGACATTTTTTGGCTGGTAAAAAAACCAGGACTAGTGGGTTTCTAGAGGAGTTTTTTAGCTGTAAAAATGCTCTAACGCTGAAAAAATGCGGCAAAACGAGGTAAAACACCACAAACCAGCGTTATTGGACTTTTTTTTGACCAAGCCCAAAAATGCTAAAAAAAAAAAACGCGAACACAAAAAACGCTGCTAAACGAGGCAAAACGCCGCTAAATGCTAATACAAAAATGCTAAAAAAAGCTGAAAAACTCACATTTTTAATGTGACTTTACACAGCTAACATTACCAGCGTTATCAAAACGTCCCGTGTGCATGAGGACTACCTCCCTCTCCTGAATGCAGAAGAATCGCTTTCAGGATAGGTTTTTTGACTGCCAACCGCGAGTAAATGCAAAATGTGGCAACCAAAAAAAAAAACATGGCAACCACGGTACCGCAATTTGCATTTTCCCACGGCCGGCGGTCAGGGTAGGCTCGTGTACATTGAGCCAGGGGCGGACTGACAACTCATGGGGCCTCCGGGCAATAGGGGATCATGGGGCCCCTGTGTCCTTACCTAAAAGAACAAATTTCAGGGGGGTAGAAACTGAATTTATTTTTTGACACACTCCCCTGCTACATTTATACAATTATCCCAGCGTGTAACTAATGCCTGGAAAGCTTCAGCATAGAAAGATTTGTCAGTTCGCCTGAACCATCCTAGGACAGCCGGCTTCACTTCATCATCAGTGCATTGTTGACCTCCAAGCAGGGGCAGACTGACAACTCATGGGGCCCCCGGGCAATAGGGGATCATGGGGCCCCTGTGTCCTTGCCCAAACTCAAAAAAGCCTATGAAAAAGGTACCAGGGGCATCTCATGGGGCCCCCTACTGACCCCGGGCCCTCGGACAGTGCCCGAGTTTCCAAATGGTCAGTCCAGGCCCCTGCATTGAGCCTTTAGTTTTCTTTGTTAGACTTTCTTTCATTTATACTTTTAAACACTCCACAGTGCAAATAAATTATATATAAAAATTAAACTGCCATACCAGCGAAGAGTCCACTCCATCTGGCGAGTGGGGACAGAGCATTCATCACAGATGGTGAGAGCACATTTGTGTTTGAAGAATTTTGGAGCACTTTTTTTTTTTGAGCACAATTTATATATATTTTTGTGGACTTTTATTTTTAGTAGTTTTATTTTTAATATATAATTTATTTGCGCTGTGGAGTGTTTAAAAGTTTATTGGATTGTTTTATAGAACAGCTGCATTTACATTTCTGAAAGATTATTTTTCTGTGGCGCAAGTTTATATCTATTTTCTTTCTTTTATCTGCACCTGGTAATAATACCAGTGATCAGCCTTACAATGACCAGCCTTTACTTATTTATATAAAAATCTTTATCCCAAAAGGGAAAAAAAAAACCTGTTTGTTGTAAATGATTATAAAATGTGAGCTGGAGTTCAGCTTCAGTTTGCTAGTATATTTAAATCTGCTAGTCCATCTAACATTCCCCTCCCCCTACTGACAATGCTGCTGTCTGCTGTGTCCCCTGTGTTCCTTCATCCAGAGTGGGGGTGCTCTAATATAGGAGGTGTGTTACTGGCCAGATCACCAGGTGAAACCAGAGGGGGGGAAATGCCTAAAAAGAAAACGAATGCAGCCATCACATCTAATGATTGGTAAGCTGCAATATATTACATTGGATTTGAATTGGTATCTGTTGTGTTTTTATACTGTAAACCAGCCTTTCTTAAAGGAACCAGAGGAAACCTTGAATTTATTCTCAGGTCTTGGGGAACCCTGCTTAAACCAATTCAGTGGGGGTCAGTGGGAACCAGGGGCGGACTGACAACTTATGGGGCCCCTGGGCAATAGGGTTTCATGGGGCCCCTGTGTCCTTGCCCAAACTAAAAAAAGCCTATGAAAAAGGTTCCAAGGGCATCTCATGGGGCCCCCTACTGACCCCGGGCCCTCGGGCAGTGCCCGAGTTTCCAAATGGTCAGTCCGCCTCTGGTGGGAACATGTCCCTTCTAGTGGTGGTCATTTCCAACTTTAGGACTGGCAAGGCATGCTGGGATTTTTAGTTCCACGGCAGTGGAAGAGAATGCCGCACTCCAATGGGCAATCCACTGAGAGAACGCTGAAGACTGCAGAGGATGAAGGAACATTTGGGGTCAGTTTGGCGCGGTTCCCGCACACCCAGACATAATAAGCACCCTCCGACTTCTTCTGAGCCTCACACCCAATGACCAATCAAAAACCTGCTATTATGTGACTTCAAACGTTGCGTCTGTCTCAACTGATGCCAGAAATTCAGCATCTGCAGAGCCACAGATGGCAGGCGGGGGGCCACAGGGAGGAGAAGAAGCAGAGAATAGCAAACATTATGTAATGATGGGAACTCTCAGTGAGGGTTCAACAACTCCAACTGATATCCCCGGATGACACCTCCTCCTGATCGCTTTCCGACCCTCCAACAGAAACCCCCATAACATGTAACTCCACACAAGGAGACCAGACACAAGGATCAGTTATTTAAAAATGTAAAATAAAAATCTTTTAACTGATATTTAAGTTTAAGTGGACTTAAACCGCCTTGCAGTATCCTGAGTCTGTACCTCCGCTGTGCCCATTATGAGGGGTTCCCGCCATCCCTGTGCTGAATTCCCAGGTCTGTACACCGGCTGTGCCCATTATGAGGGGTTCCCTCCATCCGTGTGCCGAGTTCCCAGGTCTGCACACCTGCTGTGCCCATTATGAGAGGTTCCAACCATCCCTCTGCCGAGTTCTTGGGTCTGTACACCTGCTGCGCCCATTATGAGTTGTTCCCGCCATCCCTGTGCCGAGTTCCCGGGTCTCTACACTCGCTGTGCCCATTATGAGGGGTTCCCGCCATCCCTGTGCTGAGTTCCTGGCTCTGTACACCGGCTGTGCCCATTATGAGGGGTTCCCACCATCCCTGTGCTGAGTTCCCAGGTCTGTACACCTGCTGTACCCATTATGAGGGGTTCCCGCCATCCCTGTGCTGAGTTCCCGGGTCTGTACACCCGCTGTGCCCATTATGAGGGGTTCCCACCATCCCTGTGCTGAGTTCCTGGGTCTGTACACCCACTGCACCCATTATGATGGTTCCCGCTATCTCCCTGTGCTGAGTTCCCAGGTCTCTACACCCCGCTGTGCCCAATTATGAGGGGTTCCCTCCATCCGTGTGCCGAGTTCCCAGGTATGGTTCAGCCTCTCCTCTGTGCCCATTATGAGGGGTTCCCACATACCCCTGTGCTGAGTTTCCCAGGTCTTTACACATCCGCTGTGCCCATTATGAAGGGTTCTCCATCATCCCTGTTTTTGTATTTATCTTATGTAGAATAGAGGAAACACAGAAGTGGGCACGAGCACAGCGCCAAATTTCACGGATGGGACAGGAACAGATTCCAGAAATGACAGCAGGGAGAACTCACGCAGGGGGCAGACTGACCATCCTTGGAAACTCGGGGGCATTGCCCGAGGGCCAGGTTGTCAGTAGGGGGCCCCCAGAGATGCCCCTTGGTACCTTTTTCATAGGCTTGTTTTGTATTTTGGGCAAGGACAACACAGGGGCCCCAATGATCACCTATTGCCAGGGGGCCCCATGATTTTGTCAGTACGCCCCTGTTTGGAGGTCAACATTGCTCACTGAATGATGAAGTGAAGCCGGCTTGTCATAGGATTGGTTCAGGCGTACTGACCAAATCTTTCACTATGCTGAAGCCCTTTCCAGGCATTAGTTAACAGCACTGGGATACAATAAGTATAAATGTAGCACGGGGAAGTGTTTCAAAAAATAAATTCAGTTTTCCACCCCTTAGAAATTTGTTCTTTTCTTATAATAAACTCAAAAGTCCCAGTTTTGACTTGAATGGCCCCCCATAAAAATCACTGCTCTCAAACAAAACTTTTTTTTGCTTTCGTTACATTGTTCCCCCCTGGGAAGTCGCACAGCCCCTCCCCTACCCCCCCCACGCCCCTACCACTGAAACACCCGTTGCCTATTAGTCTAGAGAGCATAGCCAGAACTAGACATTGTCCATCCCATATGACCTCAATGGAGTTTGTATTTAGCACCCAAATAATTAGTTTTGTTTGCAGAAATCCCACCATAAAATTGACATAGTGTGGCTGAAAAAAAAGACAAAAGTCAAAAATTCCATAGTTCAACAAAATAAACAAAGTTAGAAACTTCACCCACAGTGTGTTTCAGAGGAAAGGCAAAAAACCCAGCCAAAGCTTGAGCCTATTTGCTCCCTGCAGGGGCAAAACTTCCTTCCTGATCCCCGAAGAGCAATTCGATATTTCCCGGATCAACTTTACTATAAATGAGATATCCAGTTATATCTGTGTACCAAGAAAAAATCCAGGACTTCCTACAGCAATCCAACTGAGCTGGCCGCACCAACTCTTGAGGAGTCTATTCCACATTTATCACAGCTCGCACTGTGAAGAAACCTTTCCGTGTTGGAGATTAATCTCTTTTTCTCCAATGTAAAAGAGCGCCCCCTTGTCCTCTGTGATGACCTCAGGGGGAATAACTCTCCAACCGAGTTCACTCTATGAAACCACTGATGTATTTATACATGGAAGATCATAACCCCCCTTATGTAGTATACATGAGATCAAATCCCCCTTATGTATTCATACATGAATCATAGCCCCCCCTTAGGTATTACACATGGAGATCACATCCCCCCATTATTTTTTATGCAGGAGATCATATCCTCCCTTAGTTTATACATGGGGTCATATCCCCCCCTTTTGATTAAACATGGAGATCATATCCCCCCTTATTATTATACATGGAGGGTCATACCCCCTTATGTATTATCTGAGATCATATCCCCCTTATGTATTATACATGGAATCTTCCCCCCCCTTTTTTTATACGGAGACATATCCCCCCCTTATGTATTATACATGGAG